AGTGCTGGGATTAAAGGCGTGCGCCACCACCGCCCGGCTTCTTTTTTTTTTTTTTTTTATGTAGAAGTTGGGGGATCTGAACACAAGTTCTGATTGCTCAGAATGCCCTTAACTTACTGAAGCACCTCCCCAGCCTCTAAACTAAAGTTTTAAGTTATTAAAAATTACTAGAAATTGAAAATTTTAACATTCAATTTATGTTTGTATAAGAATATTTAAACAAAGCCAAGAAAACAGCATAGATCATCTTTCCAGTGCGCTGAGAAGGAGCCTGCACTACTCTGCACACCCAAAGAGAAGCAGCCCGGGGTCACAGGTGAGCTTGCTGAACTGCGCTCAGAGCAGATAGGTCCGGGGCTTGTCATTTTCCCTTGACGAAGCTGGTTTTCAAAAACAGAAAGAGAAATTCCATGTGCCTCCTTTTTTCTTTTCTGTTTATTTAAGAGAAAGGGCGTTGTAGTTAACAGGAAAAAAAAGTACAAAAAGCTATGAGGAACAGTAAATAATCCATACCTCCTGTTCAAAATATAAAATTGCCTTAGTAACTGTCAGATTCTCAGATATTTTATATTATTATTCCATGTAGTTTGATTATCATACCTACAAATTACACTCACGGTGAATACAATACTTAAACGTCCCATGAAACATACAAGAGTATGTTTCAATAATACATTTAATGGATCTTAGCCCATGCTCAATTGTATCAAAACAGAGGATATTAAAAAACAAGAAAAACATTTAACAAATGTCTTGATTTTAAAACCTGAACTTACTACCATAGCAATCAACTTAAACATAGACTTATTTACGTAAAATAAGTCTATTTTGGATAGACACAGATATTGATAAAATTATGCAGAGATGAAGTCATTAAATATTGGGTTCAAAATAAATGTCATTATGGTATGATTTATTTACATATTTGTTAGGAATTGATCACTAGATTTCCTGTGAGCAGGGGTAAATGATATTGTTTGAAAATTAGCATCTTCTAGGTATAAAGTGTGGGAAGAAAGATGGCTTGGTAGGTAAAGGGTGGAAAAAAAGAAATTCTGAGTTATCCTCTGATCTTCAAATTATACTGTGACACCTGTATCATATCCCACATTTACAAAAAATAAAAGTAAATTAAAAAAATATTCTTCAAGGTCAGGGAACATAGCTCTCACATCTGTTTCTTTCTCATGGCCTACCAAAATAAACTTGATTATACACACAGAAAGCCATAGCAAATGGTTGGTGATGACAGGATTAACTTCCTGAGCAGGGAGGTTGGATTTAAAATTAGAGCATTAGAAAAAGTAACAGAAGGACTGCGCATTTGTTAGTCCTGGCCATTGTTATGTGGACAGAAGCCAGTGCCTGTTAATGAATATTTTAATTGTGTTTCTACAACTATATAAAATGGCATTGATTCTTTTTAAATGACATTTACATTATATTTTATTTTCCTTTTTATCACATGGAGTTTGGAAAGTTTTATTTCAAAGAAACTCATGTTTATGTTATAAATTTTAATAAAACTATGATGACTCATGTGGCCTTAAATAATTATTATCTATACCATAATATTAAATACATTTCCTTTTGTATTTTACAATTTACTCTAGCCTCTTCTGCTTACCCAGTAATTTCTCAGTATCGGTCCTCTGATTTCAATGAATTTCTACACTATTAAAAAACATGAGTATCCATAACTCTGCTAACAAACGTATTTCACTATTTACATGTGCTTTAATCAGTTTACAAATTAATTGTTGTTAGTCTTGTAAAAATTCCTTCTAAGCCAATATCATTTCCCACATAAATATCAGCTGGGTCTCCCACCAAGGAGATTGTGATTCAAGCAGAATAGCCTGAAACAAACAGGTAGCAAAATTCAACAACCTGTATTTTAAGCCAGAGAGAAAGCTGGCTTCTTAGTGTTACCATTTACAGTTAAATGGCAATAACTTATTTTATTACTTACCATGCTACAAGTAAATTGTCTCAATTCCCTTTTGAGAATAAACTGAGATTGTATAGATGAAACGCATTCTTTTTAAAAAGGGGGAACTATGAGAAGAACCATGGAACAAAGGAAGGCAGTAGATGATTGTATATGTTCTTAACTGACTTCAGAGTTTTGTGATATATTATCCAGACACACTATTCCAAAAACCCTTGTATTTTTCTCCTCTATTCATGTAGAAATTACTCCTGACATATCCACCCCTAGCTATTTCATATTTGATATGGCTATGTGTAGTGAATGATAACATATGTACCTGGGACAAACTACCTTTTTACCGTGCTGAAACTTCTTACAGATTTTTAACAATGGTATTTCCAAGGCAAGATCTTATATATTTTCCTTAACATGTTTTTCTCTTTTAAGTGGAGAGAAATACACTTTCTTCTTAGTACTTATCCATATCCTTGGGTTGGTAACATATTCATCAGGTCTTATACGTTTAGGGTAAATAGGAACTACGGTATTTTAGTGAATTATCATCATTGGACAATAACATGGCATCTACAAGACTGTTAAAACCCTTTGCTTACTTTTCTCTTAGGAATCAACATGCAGACCCAGCGCACCACCGTCGCACAGACCCACTTCCTCATGTCCTTTCTACTGCTTGGCATGCTTTTTGGGAAGTCACACGCTGAAGAAGACTTCATAGTCACAACCAAGACGGGAAGAGTCCGGGGGCTGAGCCTGCCGGTTCTAGGTGGCACGGTGACTGCTTTTCTCGGAATCCCCTACGCACAGCCTCCTCTTGGAAAGCTAAGATTCAAAAAGCCACAACCCTTAAGCAAGTGGCCTGGCATCCATAATGCCACCAAATATGCTAGCTCTTGTTATCAGATCATAGATCAAACCTTCCCAGGCTTCCAGGGGTCGGAAATGTGGAATCCGAACACAAACCTCAGCGAAGACTGCTTGTATCTGAACGTTTGGGTTCCAGCACCTAAACCGAAAAATGCCACTGTCATGGTATGGGTTTATGGTGGTGGCTTTCAAACTGGGACTTCCTCTCTACCTGTTTATGATGGGAAGTTTCTAGCTCGGGTTGAAAGAGTTATTGTAGTTTCAATGAACTATAGGCTAGGTGCCCTAGGATTTCTAGCTTTACCTGGAAATTCTGAGGCTCCAGGGAACATGGGCTTATTTGATCAACAGTTGGCACTTCAGTGGGTCCAAAGGAACATAGCTGCCTTTGGAGGGAATCCTAAAAGTGTAACGCTTTTTGGTGAAAGTGCAGGATCAGCATCTGTGAGCTTACATTTGCTTTGTCCCCAAAGCTACCCTCTGTTTACCAGAGCCATTCTGCAAAGTGGATCTTCTAACGCCCCCTGGGCAGTAAAGTCTCCAGAGGAAGCCAGAAACCGAACTTTGACCTTAGCTGAATTTGCTGGCTGCTCAAAAGAGAATGAGACTGAGATGATTAAATGCCTTCAAAATAAAGATCCTGAGGAAATTCTTCTGAACCAAAGGTTCGTTCTCCCCTCTGATTCCCTCTTATCGATAAATTTCGGTCCAACGGTGGATGGTGATTTTCTCACTGACATGCCCCACACACTACTTCAACTCGGACAAGTGAAAAAAACTCAGATCTTAGTAGGCGTTAACAAAGATGAAGGCACATCTTTTCTAGTGTATGGTGCTCCTGGTTTCAGCAAAGACAATGACAGTCTCATCACTCGGAGAGAGTTTCAAGAAGGTTTAAATATGTATTTCCCAGGAGTGAGCAGCTTGGGAAAAGAAGCAATCCTTTTCTACTATGTGGACTGGTTAGGTGACCAGACACCGGAAGTCTACCGTGAGGCCTTGGATGATGTAATTGGAGATTACAACATCATATGCCCCGCGTTGGAGTTTGCTAAGACATTTTCAGACCTTGAAAATAATGCCTTTTTCTACTATCTCGAACACCGATCTTCCAAAATTCCTTGGCCTGAATGGATGGGAGTTATGCATGGCTATGAAATCGAGCTTGTCTTTGGCTTACCACTGGAAAGAAGAGCTAATTATACCAGAGCTGAGGAAATTTTGAGTCGATCCATGATGAAATTTTGGGCAAATTTTGCAAAATATGGGTAAGTGCTGATTTCTATAATTGTTACCTAGTTTTGTTTTGCTTAGCTTTGCTTGACCTCTACTGCAGACTTCATTAAAAGCATAGAAACATTTCCAGTATTTTCTCTTTGTATCTCAGCTGCCTTTGTGTCTCATTATGTGGTGAATTTCAGCTCTTTGTTTCTCAGTGCTTAAGAAAAATTACCAGAGAATTTTCTCCTAAACTATTTTCTGATTTCCTTTCCAAAACGTTGCAAAATACTTTAATGATGTTAACTAAAGTTTGGAAATAAATGCTGGTATCAGAATTACAATAATGAAAATGCCTTTCAACCCACACGATTATTGTTTTTTGAGGTTACCAGGTTTAAGAAAGAGGAGGAACAGGTCCTCCTATTGTCTAAAGCCTGGGACAGTGGCATCTGATACAGGAGTAAATGATAAGTTTCGAATCCCCAGTTATTGGGTACCCACCACTGCCGCCGCTGGTGTAGTAACCCAATCAAACTGATTGATAAATCCAGGTTTAATAAACAGAGCCAAGCAACTTCAGGGCGACCTTTTGGAAGGCAGGGGAGCAATCACATGGCAAATATGGCGGCCAGGTCTCTAGTAGTCTATAGGCCTAGTCTTGAGCAGCCTCCAGGGTAGGAGATGACCATTGCAGGGCTTTCTGAGGGGAGCGGCTACTGCTTAGCAGCCTTTTAGAGGGGGCGGGGTCTGGAATGTGAGAAGGAAGAACTGTGGGGGCGGGGAAATGGGGCCCCAAGCTGGAGATCCCCAACATCCCAACCTTTTGGGGTGTATATGGACATCGGTAGTGCTTCCACCTAAACAGAAAACTTGTCCCTATTAGGAATATGAATGGGACAAGAAGATGAGGTAATTTCCCTACCCCTTTATTCTCAAAACCCACAGCACTTAGCATTTTGCTGTTTTCCTCCAAAAGAGTCTTTCAGACCTTTTAGGTAACCTGCTTCACTTGACTTTTGAGGTCGCTCATGTTTACCTAAATTGTTTTTCTACTGGAAAAGTTGTGTGTGGCTAGGTTTCATTTATCTTTGTGGTGTTGCCTGGAGTCTTTAAGAAAATACAAGCGGTTCCCTAGTTACTAATGGTTCCACTGAGGCTTTTTCTACAGTAGGATAGGAGTTGATTCTGTTCACTAGAAATCATACTTTGGATCTTTCTCTTTCTCTGGGCTAGCAATGTGAGGAATGATAGTCTCTCAGGATGCTGGACATCGCTGGCAGTGAGAACACAGCTCCAGCCCACACACTGCATAGCAAAGCAAGCAGCCAACACTCCTGGCATCCTACCTTGCTAAGCTACACTGTTTTCTTTAAGTCTATTTTCAGTATTCCCTGATTGCAATATATTTATCAGAAGATTACTCCATCATAAACCAAGAAGCATGCATAATGTCTTGGAATCCACCTTTCCTTTTCTTTTTAATAATCTTTAAGACAAGCTTTACATATATAACTCAAGCTACATAACTTCACTTCAAAATCCTTCTTTCTAAATCTCAAAAATGCTGGGTTTACAGGGGGTGTTCTATCATACACGGCTCTGGAATAAATTTTCAAATGTGTATTAATGTGTAAAAATAAAACCTTAGTTATGAAATGTATAGATCCAAATAACTGAGTGCATTAATAAGAATAGTAAAATTAGGAATAACAATATATTTTTGAAATCAGTACTTGTATCAGTCGTAACCAGATGGATTTGTTAATACCATTAATGATACTTCAAGACAATATTGATAATATCATTCATTTCTGGTTTTTCCTTTCTATTACATTCTTATTTATTTAGTCTCTCTCTCTCTCTCTCTCTCTCTCTCTCTCTCTCTCTCTCTCTCTCTCTCTCTCTCTCTCTCTCTCTGTGTGTGTGTTTGTCCATGTATGCATTTGTGGAGGTTTCAGAACAATTTACAGGAGTCAGTTCTCTCCTTCCAGCATGTGAGTCATGGGGATGGAATTGAGATCATCAAGCTTGGCTGCAAAGCCCTTATATCCTGGGTCATCTTGCCCACTTCTAGTTCTCATTTTTATCCTCAATTTAGACTTCCTCACATTCCACAGTGCTGTGCCTCATTCTGCAGTATCTGTTACTAGTAATAATGCCAATCACTATTGCCTCTTATATATTCTTTGTAAAATGAAAACCCTCCTGCTAAGCCTTAAGAGACTTCCACATTCTTCATTCTTCTTACCATGCATATTCACCCACAGAATTCAGCTGCTTGTAGGACATGAATTTTAGGAACGCCTAAAATGTGAAAGTGCACTGTTCTCTATGGCTGTGATCTGGCAGTCTCCCAACACCTCAACAACACAGGTTCTGTTTACTGAAAGGTCCAGACTAAATACACTGCTTCACCTAGCCTCTTTTCACTTTCAAGAGCAGTTGCTCCAGACATCTGTAACTCTCAAAGAAGTCATGGGCTTATCCATATATGGTCATTCAATATATATATATATATATATATATATATATGGTTCTTGAAAAACTTGTCAGTTTCTGTGGCTATTCATCAAAGTACTAAAAGATGTATATTACAATAAATATTTGTCTAGTTGCTTAATGAAACCTCGTAATATAATTTTATTTTTCCATATATGCCAGTTATTCTATATTATCTGGTGTCTCAATATGAGTCCGAATTTTTACTCAAGGAAAGGAGTACTTGTTTAATAGCTGTGTTAGAGTTACTTTGGTCTCATTTTGTTCTCCCTCCAAAGGCTATGTCTGCAATGAGTTATTTGCATATGTTTTTCATTTTTCTTGCAATTCTACAACTTATAAATTATTAAAGAGAAACAGTCCTTCATGCCACTGATGTCTGTAATTTTTAAAGCAGTTCATATTTTCATGTTAAAATGGAGGAATTTATACTTCCTCTATTCACATTGAACAGTGTTAATAGGAGATGTTTAATGTCTTATTTATGATACGCATAGCATCAGATCAAACATGAGAGTCTTTGACACTTAATGGGATAGTTTAACCCTAATTAAGTACTTCTCTGATGAGTGTGTTTTCCTGGGAAATAAATGATGGCTGACTTATTAATTATAATGTGAAACTTATAGAACAAATCATAAAAAGATAAAATAACCTTACAAAGTGGAATAACCATACAATACATTAATTGGTAAGATCATTTTCCTCCGAGTCCATAGTTGTAGATGGACAAAGGAAAAATATATCATGAATGTTTCCAGATGAATTGAAAACAAATGTAATCTTAAGTGAACTTCAGCAGAGGCAAAGGGACCAAGAGTCAGGTTAGACATGCTTTGATTCTAAACTTCTCAAGGAGGGACAATTTGCCTCATGTACCACCCAGCTGGACTGGGAAGACACTGAACACTGTGTCCATTTTTGTGTGGTGACAGCAGGTAGCAAGCATGACATAATGCCTAGGAGACTTCCCCATACAAACACTTATTATTTCAAAATGTTAGAAGCACCAAGGTGGAGACATGTGATAGCCTATACTTCTTCACAGTCCCAAAATGTGGTTTTAAGAAATGAAAAGAAGGCTGTGGCTCTTTGAAATGTTGACACCCATTCTGTCAGGAGATCTGAGCTCTTTTCTTTCTATTAAACTCCATGCATTAGCCTATATTAAAGAGAGGTGGAGTAGGACTTGAAACTGTAATTATCATTTAGGAAATAGGATTTCATGTTTCCACCACTGTTCTAATCAATTACTCTTACATGCGAGTTAAATATATGTGTGTTGCTTATGAGCTTCATTGGGATATAATTTTCATCCACAGTTCGATAAACTCTGACTAATATCTATAATTCATCATCCTGCAACCCTGTTCATTTTGTGTGGCTTTTTGTTATTTATTTCTCATGCCTGTTCAACACATGGTATAAACTTAAATCTGACAACTTTTGCTGTGTCCAATATGCCTTTAATAAGACTAACAACTCAAAAGGGAGCTTCTCATGCCTGGTGTAGGTGTTTTGGGTAGACTGTCTTTGGCTCTTAGTGGAAGAATTGTCAGTATTGATGAAGACTTTTAGTTTAGCGTGTGTGTGTGTGTGTGTGTGTGTGTGTGTGTGTGTGTGTGTGTACTATAGTTGATTTTTGTTGTTGTTTAATTTTATGTGCATTGATATGAGATTCCCCTAGATCTAGAGGTACAGGCATTTGTGAACTGCCATGTGGGTGTTGGGAATTGAACCTGGGTCCTCAAGAAGCACAGCCTTGAAGGAAAGCCAGTGTTCTCAACCACTTAGACATTTCTCTAGCCTTGTATTATAGGTTTTTAAGGTATAGTGATATGTGGTGATATTGTGTCCCCCAATGTATTTTGCACCCTAATAAACTTATCTGGGGTCAGAGAACAGAACAGCCACTAGACAGACATAGGCCAGAAAATGGTGGCACACACACCTTTAATCCTATCACTTGGGAAGCAGAGATCCATTGGATCTCTGTGAATTCAAAGCCACACCGGAAACAGCCAGGCATGGTGACACATGCCGTTAATCCCGGGAAGTGATGACCGGAAGCAAAAAGGTATATAAGGCGGGAGGACCAGGAACTAGAGGCTGGTTAAGCTTTTAGGCTTTTGAGCACTAGTTCAGCTGAGATCCATTTGGGTGATCAGAAGCTTTCAGTTTGAGGAAACAAGATTGGCTGAGGAATTGGTGAGGTGAGGTTGGCTGTGGCTTGTTCTGCTTCTCTGATCTTTCAGAATTCACCCCAATACCTGGCTCCTCCGGATTTATTATTATTAGTAAGACCTTTTAAGATTCGTGCTACAATGACAGTATGAATCCTATGACTATCCCTTAGTGTTATTTTGCCTTGCTTCCTGCTTCTGTATTTATGACCCCTCTCACCAAGTAAGGCCCATCTTTTCTGTTGTATGTATTTGTTGTTACTTTTATAAATAATTTATTTATTTTATTTTATGTTGAGTGTTTCATCATCACGTATGTGTCTTACACATGCCTGGTGATCTTGGAGGCCAAAAGAGTGAATCAG